GCCATGACATTCAGTTTCAATTGGCCTTGCTCCAAAGACCAACACTGCCCCCATTATTATCTCTTGGCCGGGCTAGTGAAGAGCAGCCTCAGTGATCTTGTGCAGAAGTTCAGAAAATACTGCAGTTTTTCAGCCTGACTGCCTCAGCCTGAGAACTTGCTCACTGTCCAAAGGAGGGAGAGAAAGGGAGGCCAATGGTCAACCCGATTTCTGCCCGAAATGGCGTTGTAGCTAGTGTTCAGTCTCCAGTTAGTCCTGAACCAAATCACCCCTTGAGATTACACTCACTAGGGGGCACTGTTCTGCAGGGAGTGTGCAGGGCATGCAGAAGGAGGCGCTCTCCTCTCTGAGTCGGTAATGACTACAGTGCCCTCAAGCGGTAGTAGAGGGGTACTGTTCTGCGGGGAACGGTGTTGGTGGCTCACTAGGGGGCGCCCTGGCCTCTGAGTCAGTGCTGAGCTCAGTGCAGTGGTCTGTGGAGGGCGGATTCAGTAGGGGCCACTCTCCCCTATGCGTAGAAACTGACAGCTGGAGATGAGTAATAATATGTGAACGAAAGATACAACAGTAATAATGAGCACTTCCTCTCTGCACACCACACCGTTGATCCCACCCACCTGCCCTCCTATGTCATGATCCCTGTAACACGTGGGGAACAGCAGCACAGAGGTTGCAGGGGCTTGGCCCCTCACACATGAAAGAGCCAAGAACAGTAATACCCAGAGAAGGCTTGTCAGCAGTTGATGTCAATCTCCTTATCCAGACTCTGCCGCCAGGAAAATATCTTGTTCTGGGCCGGAGCTGGGAATAGAACCCAGCTTGTCTGAGCTCTGTCCACTAGTCCACACTTCCTCCAAGTAGTAATGTTAGGTCAGATCACCATCCCATTTTAGCTTATTTGGCACCTACAAATAAATAGCAGGAACAGGCTTGGCTCTGTATTTTGCGCTTTGGTGTCAACCTCTGGGGCTTTCTGAAGGCCAGCAGGGGCTGGAACCAAGAAGACATGGATCTGAATCTTCACCCCTTCCTGACTCTGGTCCCTTGGAAGCAAACCCTGCTGAGATGTCCTAGATGTGGGGAGAAAAGGCAGGACTCTTGGATCCCAGCCAACAGGTGTGATGATCCATGATGGAACCAGCCCTGCCTTCTCTGTGAGACAAGCACACCCGCAAAGGCCCCAGGAAATTGTTAAAAGCAGTTTTAATCAAACAGAGTTGAGTACACATGGCAACACACAGATTTGTAAAGCAAATTGTGTAAATCGTATCACAGGAGATGAAATAAAGAGTCACACACACGCACACACACGCAGCTGCTTTTCGGTGTCATTGTTCAGAAAAAAAACCCAATTGCTTTGCATCCCTTTAAAAACACCCGTGGATCCAGACTCTGGGATGGTTTCTTCCATTCTCCTCTCATGTGATGATGAAAACACCCCAAGGCCATTTCCCGTCTGAGGCTGAAGCTCCTCTTGTATCCCCCACAGTGGCCACATCAAACCGACCTCGCGAGACGCTGATCAGGAGTCCAGTGCCACCATGCAGCGCCCTGTTTGAAATGCTGCCCTGTGCTGAGAGAGGGCTGCCGTGAAATCCACACACAGTGCGTCCGGCAGCTGGCAATGCTGGGCCAATGACGGGACTGCCTTCCTGGCGGGGATGCAAGCTGTGTGCTAGTTGTAGCGCTGGCAAATCCTGCTCCATTCGCCGGACAAAGTGAGGCCCCGCAGAGAAGCACAAGGAAGCAGCCGTGTTTTATTTTGTAGCTCGTAGGGGGGAGGGTTCCAAATCCACATGTGCATGACTGGCCCTGGTGAGGCTCCTCCATGGACCACCTGGGAGCAGGCTAGAGGGAGAGGAAGAAAGTCCATGGGCATTGGACCAGACAAGGGGATGCCAAGGAGGGAAGGCATTGATCCCTCGGGGCTGATGGATTTCCATGGTAGAGTGGGTTTCAGTGGGTGGGCATGACCCAAAGGTGGAGTTTTTAAAGGCAGTAGGTGGCAACTTTTGTTTAGTTAATTTGACAAGATGTTAGGCTGCAGGGCAAAAAATATGACTAAGAGGCTGCGAAATCACAGAGCCTGACCCTGTGCTGGCAGGAAGCGGGCAGGACATAAGGTTGACAGGAGGTTGGTATCACAAGCTGGCTTCAGTTTCCCTGCAGTAGGATGGATACCATGACGGTTTCTGGTTTGCATTTGTTTTGTTCTCTTTGGAGTTTGCTCTCTGTATCAGATCCCTGCACTTCCTGGCGCACATGAGCATTGTTTGACTCTATTAAATGTAAAGGGGTTCATCATTTGAATCGGGCGTTCTACATGGCAGCAGTGAATCCCCCCTGGCCGGAAAACAAGAAGTCCCATTCCTGGCTCTGACATGCCACTAGCAAAGCACCGAACCGCTGCCTTGTTCCTGGTGCTGGGCGGCACGTTTTTGTCTAAATGTTTTTTGCCAATATCAAAATTCGGAGACAAATGTGTCAGTCTGACAACAGTATGTTTTGCAAAACCTCCCCCAGGGAAGTGATTCAGATCAGTGTTACCAGAACAACCCAGCTCGAAGTCTTTCGGCATAGACCATGTGATTGTTCGGTTTGAAATGATTTTTTAAATGTTTTTATATTAAAAAGTGAAAGAGATTCCAAAGGTTAAAATTCAAAGAAATATTTTGATTTTTATCAACATGAAATATTTCCACGGACCCAAAGTGGTTTTCCCCAGGATTTCCTTTGCCAAGAAAATTAGATTTTTTTTTTGTTCCGGGTTCGGAATGGAACAAATTTAGAAATTGTAAAATTCCTTTTGAAATGGGAAGTCCAGGTCCTGCCCAGCTCTCTGCAATGCTGCTGCACCTAGGAATAGTGATCAACAGCTTTGTGTCAAATTTGCGGCAGGTATCCACAGGACTGGTTTGGTTCAACATCTTTATTAATGACCTGTATGAGGGGATGGATTGCACCCTCAGCAAGTTCACAGAAGACAATAAGCTAGAGGGGGAGGTAGATATGTTGGAGGGCAGGGATAGGGGACAGAGTGAACTAGACAAATTGGAAGATTGGGCCAAATGAAATCTTGAGGAGGTTCAACAAGAAGTGTAGAGTCCTGCACATGGGAAGGAAGGATCCCAAGCATTGTTACAGGCTGGGGACCAACTGGCTAAGCACCAGTTCAACAGAAAATTCCAGTGGATGAGAAGCTGGATCTGAATCAGCAGTGTGCCCTTGTAGCCAAGAAGGCTAACATAATTTGAGGGTACATTGGAATATTGCCAGCAGATCAAGGGACGTGATTATTTCCCTTTTATTCGATTCTGGAGTATTGTGTCCAATTCTGGGCCCCCCACTACAGAAAGGATGCATTGGTGAGAGTCCAGCAAAGGACAACACAAACGATTAGGGGGTTGGGACACATTATTTACAAGGAGAGGCTGTGAGATTTGGGCTTAATAAATATACAGAAGAGTGAGGGGGGATTTGATAGCAGCCTCCAGCTGTTATCAAAGAGGATGGAGCGAGGCTGTTCTCAGTGGTGACAGATGATAGAACAAGGAGCAATGGGCTCAAGTTGCAGTGGGGGAGGTCTAGGTTGGATATGAGGAAAAACGATTTCACTAGAAGGGTGGGGAAGCACTGGGATGGGTTACCTAGGGAGGTGGAGGAATCTCCATCCCTAGAGATTTTTAAGTCCCGGCTTGACAAAGCCCTGGCCATTGATGCATCTACCCTCCATGAATGTATCTGGTTCTTTTTTGAACTCTGTTATTCTTCTGGTCTTCACAACATCCTCTGGCAAGGAGTTCCACAGGTGGACTGTGTGTTGTGTAAAGAAATACTTCCTTTTGTTTGTTTTAAACCTGATGCCCATTCATTTCATTTGGTGACCCTTAGTTTTTGTGTCGTGAGGTGTAACTAACACTTCCTTGTTTAGTTTCTCCACACCAGTCATGATTTTATAGATGTATATATTTATAGATTTGTATCATGTCTCCCAACCTTAGTCATCTCTTTTCCAAGCTTATTAATCTCTCCTCATAGACAAGCTGTTCCATATCCCTAATCAATATTGTTGCCCTTTTCTGAACCTTTTCCAATGCCAATATAACTTTTAGAGATGGGGTGACCAGGTCTGCACACAGTATTTGAGATGTGGGTGTACCCAGGATTTATATAGACAATATGAATTTTCTGTCTTATTATCTATCCCTTTCCTAATGACTCTCAGCCTCTCAGCATTGTGTTAGCTTTTTCTGCATAGGACCCACCTGCCACTGAGAGATAATTAGCCCATGTTTGGGGAGGATTGAGGTGAAAGGGGACTCAGAGACCTCACCTTGCTGTAGACTCTTTGCCAGACAGATGATCCTTCCTGTACCCCATCCATCCAGGAAATCGTCTGCTGGGAGAACTGTTGGCTAATCAGCCATGTGGAACTGTCAGACACCAATGTGATGTGTGTATGGAGCTTGGGACTGTTCAAACAAGCACCAGGGAAATCTGGCAGGGCCCCAGAAGACCCAGGCCTGGCACAGAGTCACTCTGTCCCCTGCCTTCCTAGAATTAGATATACTGTCTGACTAGCTTTGGGCTACTGCCCTTGGGCTGTCCTCTGACTGGCAGGGCTTTGCAGAGTTATCACTTTTAAGGCTAGAAGGACTACGGTGGTCAGCCAGTCTGAGCTGTGATTCCAGCAATGCTACAGCTGGAAATGTTACTGGTGATGATGTATTTGCCACACCCCTTGCTGATCTGTTCCAAAGGTTTACTCCACTGGGTTTATTTCCCTTTTGAACTGCTTTGAGCAGGGGGCTGGACTTGACAGCTCCTGAGGGCTCTTCCAGCCCTAGGATTGTAACTGTCTTGCCTGTGGATTCCAGTTGTTGGATTATGTTCTTTCCCTGCCAGCTACCTAAGGGTATGTCTATACTTGCACCCTAGTTCACACTAGGGATGCAAATGTAGGCATCCGAAATAGTCAATGAAGTGGGGATTTAAATATCCCGCACTTCATTAGCAGAAAGTGTGCGCTGGGATGCATTAGTTCAAACCAAAGCCCTTGGTTCGAACTAACGTTACTCCTCAAAAAATGAGGAGTTAAGAGTAACGCACCAGCGAGATCCCCACTTCATTGACTATTTCGAATGCCTACATTTGCACCCTAGTATGAACTAGGGATGCAAATGTAGACATACCCTAAGGGTGTGTCTAGACTACAGGGTTTTGTCGACAAAAGTGGACTTTTGTTGACAAAACTATACCTGCGTCTACACTACCGATATAATGTCGACAGAACTCAACAGTTTTGTCGACGCTGGTAAACCTCATTTTACGAGGCATAACGACTTTTGTCGACAGAGTTCTGTCGACAGAAGGTGTTATTGCATCTAGGGTTGTGTCTAGACTACAGGGTTTTGTCGACAAAGCAGCTTGCTTTGTCGACAGAATTGAATGTAGTCTAGACGCTTTTTGTCTTTGTCTTTATCTGTCGACAAAACTTCTGTCGACAAAAGCCTGTAGTCTAGACATACCCTAAGAGAGCTCTGTAAGGCTGATATAGTCTCTTGACGTAGACACCGAGGGATTAGGTTTCTGAATCCAGGTATGAACTGATAAGAAACACTGATAAAACACCCTGGAAGCAGAACCCTCAAACAAGCCAGTGTTTTTCCAGCCCACACTGACGTGCTTTCTCAGTTCATATGGATTTCAACCATTTCCTAGGCCTGGCTGTTTACTGAGGCCACGTCCCTGCTCAGTGGCTGGTAACTGAGCTTGCCTACATGGAGTGCCAGTGTGGATTTCTAACTGGTCCATGCCAATGCTGCTGGCAGGCACTAGTTTCCCTAATGCGCTTGAACATAGTGTAGCTTGAAACAGTGCGAGGTGCATCTCCAAAGGGAAAGCCATGAAAATAACCCAGCGTTTGGACATCCACACAGAACTCAAACCCTGCTGCAAATACCTTCACTCCCAAGGCAATCAATAAACCCTGGAAAATATACCTTGCTTACACATCATAAAGAAATTGCCTCTTAGCCATCTTGGATAAACTAAGCCAGTGGAGTTCCATTAGACCTCACTGGCAGGCAAGTTTTGCAGACCTCAAATCAACCTTATAAGGATCTTCTGAGGCCTTCCTGAAGGGAGGTTCCAAAGAGGATGGAGAGAGGCCGTTCTCAGTAGTGACGGATGGCAGAACAAGGAGCAATGGGCTCAAGCTGTGGTGGGAGAGGTCCAGGTTGGATATTAGGAAAAACTATTTCACTAGGAGGGTGGTGAAGCACTGGGATGGGTTCCATAGGGAAGTAGTGGAGTCTCCATCCCTAGAGGTGTTTAAGTCTCGGCTTGACAAAGCCCTGGCCGGGTTGATTTAGTTGGGATTGGTCCTGCCTAGAGCAGGGGCTGGACTTGATGACCTTCGGAGGTCTCTTCCAGCTCTATGGTTCTATGATTCTTATGATTCTAAATCCTCACCAATGGTTGATTATCCTTTTTGAAGTGCGGACACCCAGTCTGGAGACAGCCTCTCCAAGGCCGTGCATGGAGGTGGGGGATGTATCTGAGGAGACTCTGGCACGCTTGGTAGAACTCAGTAATGCTGAGCAAGGACTTCTAGAAAGGTCAATGCAAGGAGATGGCTATGGGCTCTCACACAGAGCTGGGTAGGAAATGGTTTTCCATCCTGTGACCATTTCTCAGATTCTGAATATTTTTCCCATCCCAAGTTGGGATGAAAGGTGGAAACCTTGGACATTTTCATGACCTCCCTCTCCCCCCTCAGGCCAATTGAAACATTTATTTCAATTTCAACCATGTTTTTTAAAAAAAAGTCATTACTCTAATTACCTTTAATTTCTGAACAGAAAGTCCTTTGGACTTGGAGACCCATTTAGGAATTGTCAAAACGGGACCTTTTTGGAACCGAGACACGTGTTTTTCCACAGCTGAGGAGTTTGTCATAACTGAGCCGTTCCTGAGAAAACTTGACGTTTCCACAAATGGACATTACTGGAAGAAAAAAATGTTTCATGAAGGATTTCCTGCCTAGCTCTACTGTCACTGCTACCGGGAGTTCACAGGCTGCAATTTTTCTGTAGAGGTGAAGGCACATGCAATCCCTGCCCACAGACGAGCTGTTCCCAGGCTCCCAGCTAGGAGCTCAGGGCAGCCAGGAATGTATGCCATCCGGTTCTACCCGCCGGAGAGTGTAGCCAGACAAGGTGGAAGGTCCAGAAATCCGGCAGGTTTATGCAAATGATGCAAAGTCCTGATTTGCATACCAGATGAATATGCATAAACATGTGGAAGTAGCTGGATTGTAAAACTACAGAACATGCCACCCCACAGCTTACTGCTGTCTCCTCAGTGCTCACTGTAGTACTCCACCTCTATAGACCCTTCTGGACCAAAGCCCTGGGGGGCAGCTAAGCTCCAGGTCCCCTTCCTTGCCTAGCCAGCTCTCCTGCGGGAATCACAGCCTGTAGAAAATGCAGCAGAGTTGGACCCAATTTTGCTTATGTTAGAAAAAAAATACATCACGGCTGCATTGTGGGATGAGGCATAAAACCAAGGAGCTTTGTGTTTGTGTGTGAAAGTGCATGTGAATGAAATGTGTTTATCTATTTGAGTGTGTGTGAGTGTGTGTGTATGTGTGTGTGTGCACATGGATATATTTGGGAGTAATTAAAGAATTCTGTGGTGCTTTTGACCCTCTCGTCCCACGGAGAAGGGTGTGAACCCAGGTGTCCTCCAAGTCCCCGTCCTGCCATGGGCAGACGCCAGCACATCCCAATTCAATTTCTCCTGCTGTTTCAATGGTAGCTGCCTTCCTCCTCTTCGCGCCCTCCCCATGGCCCTCTCCTGACAAGTCTCTGCTCGGGGAGGAACAATCTCACCCCTCCAGCCCTCTCATGCCTCAGCTGGTGAGTGGCAGCGACTCCTCCCTCCGCTGGTGGGGGGGGGGGTCTCCCTGTGGGCTGTGGCTGTGTGTGTGTGTCTCTCTGTGGCTCTTTCCAGCTCCAGGGGCTTGTAGTGATGCCATGGCCGTCTGCGATGCTTTCCTGGGGCTCATCTTTCCTGCAGAGTGAACTTGACTCCAGGCTCCAGCGATCCTCCATCCTGGTCAGCCCCGGGGGAGCTTTCCGCTGGTGTTGGCTGGCCTGGCGGGGTGCAGGACATTAGCACAGCTTGTCCACAGCTCGCGCACCCGCCCTCGAGCCGGGATGCCAGGGGAGTGAGTGCCAGGAACAGGGGCAAACCCTCCAGTGAAGACCCAGGCTCTGACTCCTCTGACAAATGCTCAAACCACGCAGATACCTGGAAGCCCTGGAGCGAAGTCCCCATGTGGGCGTGGCTGCCACGGGCCTTTGCCAGGCACCACACACTGGGCTTGGGGGGCAGGTTGGAAACCCCAGCGCTGCGGCAGGCTGCATTGCAGGGGCTGCCCTGAGGCCTTGCCAGGGGTCCCACCGGGTGGGCTGGGGCAGGGTGGGCGTGGGGAACCAACAGTCTCAGGGCTGTGATAAAATGGAGACAAAGCACAGACACGGTGCCAGGCAAACGCCGGTCATGACCCGAGGCTCGGGTCTGTATTCTGGCTGAACACAGATCAGGCAGTCCCCTCGCTGCAGCTTGTAGGGCAGCAGTGCTGGCAGTGGGATCCTGGAAGCAGCTTGCACCAGGCTTGCCCAGCAGTACGGGGAGCTGCCCACCCTCTGTGGCCATGGCTGCTGCCTGGGTCATGACAGTGCCGCACACGGGCCTTTCGTGCCACGCCGGCCTGAGCCAGAGAGAGGAACTGATATCCCAGAGGAGCCGGGACATGCATGGGAATGTGGAGAGAGGCCAGGACACACGCTGGTCGCCTCCGTCCATGTGACCAGCACTAGCCGGACTCTCACTGGCCTGGCAAGCGCTCCCGTCAGACCTGCTGCTGGGTCAGGATTGGGCAGATGTTGGAGCCGCATTTCCAGCAAACCTGGCCTCAGTTGGGGCATTGCTTGGCCCCCCAGCCTATCCCCAGAGAATGTGACACCCTCAGCTGCTGTAGGCCTTTCCCGGGCCACCAGACACTGCCCAGCCCCACAGTCCTGGGCACGGGGGGTGCTGGCTTCACAAGGGTTCAGTGAGTAAAAACAGCTGCTCTGAGAGCTGGTCTCCCCGGGCAGACATTGGCGAGGGGTTTCTTTGGTGTTGGCCAGTCCCCGCCAGGGCTCAGCTGCCTTTCTCTGGGCTCCTGGGGCAGAGAGTCCATCCAGGAAGTACACAGCCACCACGCCATGCTCAGTCTGCCGTGCAAGCAGCCGAGGATCTGCCGCAAACGTGGCTCCCCTCCTCCGCAAGGGTGTCCCGTCTCAGACCGCCGTGGACTGCTTGATGCTGTGGAAGCTGACGCGCGTCGGCGACGTGGGGATGGACATGGCTCTGGCCACGCGGGTGCGGATGGAGTGCTTGTCCTGCCACCGGTGCCATCTTTTCCGTACAGCGGAACGGACCTGCCAACACATTGCAGAGCACAGAGTGTTTACTCCCCAGGCTGGGCAAGATTTCCCTCTCCCATTGCAAGAGCTAGGGGGCTCAAAGCTTGTTACAGACATCAATGAACTAAGCCCTCAAATTCCCCAGGAGGAGGGGACAGTTGATGGCATTATCCCATTTTTGCAGATGGGGAAACTGAGGCACAGAACAGCGACGTGATTTGCTCAAGGCCACCCCGGAGTTCTGGGGGTTGCCTTATGCTGGAGAACAAAAGAGAGTTCAGACCCCCTGAGCCTATGGAGCTGGGAAAAAGTCTCCCTTCTTATCCCACTGCGGGGTAGGGAGAGGGAGGGGAGGGTGGGTCTGGGGCAGATGGCATTTGCAAAAGTCATTGCAATGGGAGATTTGAGCGCAGCCGGTCTCACTCCCAACCCTTTGCTCTAACCAAGGGATAAGGCAGCCTCCTTCCCGGAGCCAGACACAGCCCCCAGGCCTCCCGGCTCCCCGCCCCCTTGTAATCCACTGTTGGACACTGACTTCCATCAATCCTGCCCTTAAAGGTCTGACAGGGAAGAGAAATGAACCCTGCCCAGGACCATGACAGAGCGAGCGGGAGATAAATCTGGACTTCAGCTGTAAAAAAAGGGCCAGCGGCTCATAAACCACGTCTGATGCTGCCGCGTGTGTCGGACGGGACGTAAGTGATGGGCTCAGAGTTTCTTTATGACTTGTCTGGTCCACAGTAGCGGCAGGTCCTCTGTGAGAGTTCCAGCCCGGAGCAGGCCTTGCATGGCCGGTGAATTATGAGGGTGAATTATGAGGCACATATTCTAAGGCCACAAGAGCTCCTTGGGCTAATCCATCTGCCCTCCCGTACGACCCAAGAATGCTTCCTGGAGTCGCTGCAGCCGGGCGTGTCAGTGACTGTGGGGCGGGAATTCCACCGGCTGACAGAGGCCATGAGGTGGATGGAGCCGCACTGTGGAGATGGATTTTTAGTGCTCGTGTTGAGCCTTCCCCATATTTAACCCCCCAGCAGCTGGGGCTACTGAGTAGCTGGCACTGACCCCTCCATTCCTGTGGCTCGGAGCTGCAGCCCCGTGACTTGAGTTAGTGCAGGGGGAAATTGTTTCCCACCAAGCCTCCTCAGCAGTCAAGCAGGTCTCACCTCACTGTGCCTTGGCACTGTCTGCCTGTGCCCTGGGCACTGTAGCATCACAAGGTAAATAAGAATCAACAGCGTGACAGTGTTCCAAAAAAAGGAAACATCATTCGGGAACGTGGTGACGTTATCTGATTAAACCGTGGCCATACAGATCATGCTGCAACAAAACTTGTGCCAAGTAGGACACATGGCTACAAAGGGTTAAAGGCTCCCAGGCCAAATGACCTAGAGCCAACCACAGAGGCATGTGAGAAAAATATGTAAAGGCCAATTAAGGCCATTCAGTGCTAGAACTTTGATATGCAAACCTGTCTCCTTAGAAAGCAGAGTCTAATTCTAGTTAGATGGTTACTTCTACCATGTCCTGTCTATCTCTGTAATGGTTGATTCCAAGATCAAAAGGGATTATTAACATTTAGATGAATCTTGGGTGAGAGAAAGATGTCTCTTTAAAGTCTGTGATAAACTGCTTAAGGGATACACTACTTTATGTTCATTATCTGGTGTTTAATAAATTACCATGTGGTTATATCAAAAGACTGTTGTGTTCTCATAGGCCAAGGGGCTGCTGGAAATATATAAAGACCCTTGGGTCCTGATCCTTTTTATCTCATGTCTGCTTGGATGCTCCCAGGGCAAGCTGCCAGCCATAAGAAATGATATCCCAGGAGATCCTGGTGCCCCTTTAAGGGTACATCTACACTGCATCCCTAGTTCGGGCTAGGGATGCAAATGGAGACGACCGAAGTAGTTAATGAAGCGGGGATTTAAATATCCCGCGCTTCATTAACATGATCTCACCGGCGCGCTAGGAGGAGTAACGTTAGTTCAGACTAAGGGCTTTAGTCCGAACTAACGCGTCCTGGCGCGCACTTCCTGGCTCGAATCAGCTGTGATTCGAACTAGCGCACCGGCGAGATCATGTGAGCAAGTTTTTAGTCTTGGAAGAAATGTTGTGCTGTTGGTCTTCATGCGCAGTGTCCTTGGGGGAGCTGTTGCAAGTAGCTGGACCGTTTGCTCTCAGCCTTCAGCTCTGCAACCAAAGCCAGTGCTGGGGATAGGGCTGGGAGCAGGACAAGGGTATTGCCTGTGTGCTCTGTGCCCACTTCTGTTCCAGGACTGGTAAATATGCAGAAAATAAACAAACTACCGCAACAGCCCAACCTACACACTACCGAATTCTCCTCTAGCAGGAAGCAGACCTGCACGGTCCCAACAGCTGCTACTCTCCACAGAGGGGTGCTGTTGTTATTTACCATGCGCTCAGGGCACACAGAAGGGTCATGGCCCGGCCTCAGTGTATTTACAAGCCAGACTGCAGGGTCGCCAGCACGCTGCATTAAAATCCTGCCTGGGCAACCTGGAAAAACCAGCACTGGCTTTCCTTCCCCCCAGCTTGCCGCCCTCCGGTGTGGTCAGGAAGGATTTCTAGCTGCTTCTCAGCAAGCTCTCTTGGACGTCCTGCTAGCAGTTCCTCGGCTGCCCTGGTTAACTCGCAGCAATGCATCTATCCCACCCCTCCCCGCTGACCTTAGCCTGCAGTGCAAAACCTCTGGGATCCCTAGTCCATCCCATCCCTCCCCATTGAGGGTTTTAAGCTCCCTAGGAGACATTCCAGCACATTTAGCTTTTCAGCCCCTTTCTGGCTAACTTTCCTTCCCTGCTGGGACTGGCAGTAGGGGTGAGAATGCTGTCATGTGATTAAAGGAAGGGACGTGCCATGGGTCCTTTGCCTGGCTCTGGGAGGAAGAGCTGGCTAGTGTGAGAGCAGGGAAGTGGGTGTCAGGACTCCAGTCAGCTCCGCCACGGACTCACTGCATGACCTTGGCCAAGTCACTTCTTCTGTGTGGGTTTCCCTCTCTGTAAACAGGGCTCATGGTAATTCTCCACTGGCGTGTTGTGAGGATAAATTGGTAAGTGGCTGAGCGCTCTCTGTGTGAGTGCCCAGTACTTCCACTGGAAACTGGAGCCTAAATACCTTTGAAGGTCTGGCTCTCTTTGCTCCCCTGACTGCTCCTTGCTCAGCTTTGGGCTGACTGACCACAACAAACCACCTGCTCTTGAACCATGAGCTGCGAAGAAGCCCAGAGCATCAATCAAACAAAGTCTCACGCCGTGGTGATGGGGCAGGCAGAGCCAACCTCGTCCCCGGATTATTAACCAGACTGTTTTGCTGCTTCACAGAAGGTGGGAACCAGTTTTAAAGAGAAAGATTTTGCAAAGAATAAGAATAAAAACCCACCCTCAAAGATCCCAGGCCAGAAAGCAGCCCCAGGGGTGAATTCTTTAGCAAGCACCAATCTGTTGGATCAGAGAGCGGCTGCCTTGGGAGCTGTCTCTCCCCGAGAGGATGCCCTGGACAAATATTGCAAAGAGAGGCTGTGTTTTCCTTCGGCGTCTGAAAAGGCTTTTTATGTTCCTTGTCCCCTGGGCTCTGCTGTTTCTATCGTGTACCCAGCCAGCCGTCCTTACTGCTAGCAAAGGCGATAGCAGGGAGGCAGAGGAACATGGAGATACATCAGATCAGCTCAGAGAGGGGCTTTGGTTTGACTATACATGTTCCTTCTCTCGGGTCACAGGGGGCTAAGTTTGGTGAAATGATCCCTGAGCTCAGACAGATGCACCTGACCTTGGTGCGTGTCCCTGCCACATGCTGCTCATCTTAGCAAAGGGTTGACAGGGACACCACCTCATGGACAGATTGGTCTGTGGTGACGTTGGCACTGTTTTGCCATGTACTGCGTCAACATAGCCTCAAGTGCCTTCCGCCAGCCCAAACCAGCAGCGACCTTTCTCCAGCCCCCGGCTCAGAGCCAGCTGGGATGTTCTCAGTGAAAAGAAAGTTGAGTGCAAAATGGGGCAAAATTGAACATTTTTATGGAAAGTTTTGTTCTGGCTGAAAGTTCCTAAGACCTAAATGTTTTTCAGGAAAAGCCTTTGATAAAAAACGTTCTGTTTCCAGGAAATTGTTTGGCTTCTGATTTGCAAAATGTGACCCTTTTAATCCAACACCCCCCAGCTATTTGCCCCTTGGAAAAGTTTTCAAGACACTGAAAGTGTTTCTGTTTCCGGATTTGTTTTGTTTTTTATTGTAAAATAATCCCCACACCTAACATATTTTAATGGGAAACTTTGATGAAAACTTTTTAAACCTGAGATTTTCCTATGATGGGTACTTGCCCTTTTGGGGCTTGCTCTGTCCAGAAGTGACATTAGGAGGCGTGTGTGTGTCTGCTGCTTATGCAGTTTGGTACCTTGGAAGTCCCAAAGTGGGGGCCAATCCCAGAATCTGTTCAGCACACACAGGGAACTTAGCTACTGCCTACAGCTGTGACCATGTCTCAGCTGTTCAGGGTGCAGTGCTGAGCAGGCAGGGAGCCAGCATATTGGTGAATAGCACCGATTATAAGACCTGGCACTGCTGGGAGAAACGGTTCCCTTTGATGAGCTGACCCCTGGCCTTCCAGACACACTTCAGTGCCGGGCTGTTACTAGCCTGCTCACAGACTTGGGCCCAGAACATCACTTCCTACCAGGTTAAACCCACTCCCCCCATTTCATTATTGTTCCAAGTCTCAGGAGACACCAGGTCTCCCAGAAGGACTAGTCCTGGCCTCATCTCCGGCACTCACTTGAGCACACAGGGGTGTCTCCTTGGCAAGGCACAGAGGGAACTCACCTCGCTGTTCAGGAAGCAGTAGAAGACAGAGACAAAGAAGCCCTAGAAGAAAGAAACACCATTACTAGGAGCTGTAGGAAGCAGGCGCTCTGGGCTGCTTGGGGGCTGACAGTCACCTGAGTTGTATTCGGGCTCGGCGAAAGAGTTTGCAGGGCCTAAGGCGGCGTGTTGTGGTTGGCTGCACCGTGTCGCATGGTCCACATGGCCGGGCTCCCAGCCAGGCGGGCGGGCGCTGGACAGCATGGGGCCCTGAAGGTGCCTTGCCCCAAGGCCAGGCTTGGTTGCATTGATCAGACACGTCCCTTCTTGCCACACACACTTTCCTTCAGTCCCGACGCCTGGAGTCAAGGGACGAGCGAGAATCGAGGCTGTCATTAAACAACAGGAAGGTTCTAGCCCTTGTGGCTGCCGAGAGAACCTGGAGCTGGGACCTGGAGGCTCAGAAGGCAAAGAAACAGGCCCCTGCTTCCATTCGTTTCTTTAATCTCATGAGTTTTACGCCAGGCTCTGGTTTGTTGCGGTACGGGGCCAGCCTGGGCCCAATCTTGCCATTTCACAGGGTTTTATGTAGGACCCAGCAGTGATGGGGTCACTGATCACACCAGGGCTGGGTACAGCCTGGGGCGCAGCCACCCCATCTGCACCACTGCCCCAGGATGCAACTTCAGGCACATAACTCCTGGGGACGTGGGCTATAAAGCAGGGCTGGCCAGGAGGGGGCGATGCTGCCCCCCCTCCCGAGGCACATACCTGGAAAGATTCCAGGAAGGAGTTGAAGTAGATGAAGACGACCCGGGAGATCTCGTCTTCCCCTGGGTTCACGAAGAACAGCATGTAGGTGATGCCCAGCAACGGCAGCAGGACCAGCGTGGCCTTCACGGCTTTTCTGAGAAAGGAACACAGGGCTCAGCCACACCAGCACAGCCGCTCCCCTGGGCAGAGCTGAGCCGGGAGGCTGGGATCGAGTCCTCTGACCGGACAAGGGCACAGCGGTTGGGCAGGAGGGAGCGCAGAAGCTGGTGGAATGATGACAGTCAGTGGGATGTGGTGATACCAGGGTGTGAAATATCTAGGCACGGCAGAGTAGGGCATGCGGCGGGACAGGGGACTGCTTGTGAAAGAAAGCACAGAGCCTAATATTGGGGAAAAATCTTAAACGAATCAAACTGTGCCACTGAATCTCTCTGGATAGAAATGTCATGTTTCTTAAGCTGCTCAATGGCCTTTGTACAGGTTGCACCTCTATACACCAGAACTCTCTGGTCCAGCAATTTCCGTGGAAGCCCAGGGTGGGGAGGCAGAAATGACCTTCACTGGTCTGGAAAAATCCCTTTTGGGGGACCACTCCGGTCCCGAGGGTGCCGGACCAGGGAGGTGCAACCTGTGTTGACCACCTGACCAGGATAGTGCCCGGGAAAAGCTCTGGAAGATTAGAGAAGCTACACAAACAGAAAACCCTGCAATAATGGAGGATTTCAGCTAGCCCTGCAGTGACTGTGTCACCTCAGAAGGGGATGCAAAGATCAGCTTTCTAGACACCAGACTTTCTAGATTGCTTCTTGGAGCATCTAGTTCCTGAGCCCGTAAGGAGAGAGAGGCAGTTCTTGATTTAGTCCTAAGTGGTGCACAGGATCTGGTCCAGGAACTCAATAGAGCTGAACTGCTGGTAATAGAAGCCAAACTGTAATGCAATTTAACACCCTTTTGGGGAGGAAAATACCAAAAATGCTCACCACAATAGCACTTAACTTCGAAAGGGGAACTACCTAAAAATGAGGAAGAAATTAAAAGAAACATTCACAAGAAAGACAGGCCTGAAAATTGCATGGGAACTTTTAGAAACCCTTGTAACAGTGGCTTACATTAAATGTATATCCCAAATTTAAAAAAGGACCAAGAAGAGAGTAAAAGAGGTGACTAGAGGCAAAAACATCCTTTAAAAACTGGAAGTCAGATCCTACAGAGGAAAACAGAAAGGCGCATAAACACTGAAACATCAAGAGCAAAATTATAACTAGGCAGACCAAGGATAATCAGGCGAAAAAGAATTTGAAGAGCAACTAGCAAAAGACCCAAAAATTATCACAAAAAAAGGTCCCTCAGAAGCAGGCAGCCTGGCAAACAGCCAGGGGGGTCACTGCACGAGAGAGGTGCGGCAGGAGAATTCAAGGAAGAAAATAGGTTGCAAGAAGCAAATGAATTCTCCACTGCAGAGGGTGCCAGGGAGATTCCCACAGACCTGAGCCATTATTTTCAGGTGACAAACTGGAGGAACTGTCCCAGATTGAGGTCAGTGGAGGAGGTTTTGGAGCAAATGGGCTAATTAAATAGTGATTAATCCCCAAGACCTGATGGGGCTCACCCCATTGCACTGAAGGAGGTCCAGTATAAAATTGGAGAACTGTTACCAGGTGTGTAACCTATCACCTAAGTCAGCTTTGGCTCCAGATGGCTGGAGGATGGCTAATTGAAAGCTGAGTTACTAAAAAGGCTCCAGAGGCGATCCTGATAGGCTTCGCTTCTGTTCCAGGCACCTCAGTTGAAACTAGAGTAAAGAACAGAATTCCTGGACACCCAGATAAACACAGTATCCTGGGGAAGAGTCAACACAGCTTTAGCAAAAGGAAATGCCATGCGTCACCAATCTATTGCAATTCGGGGGAGGAGGGTGCGTGTGGAGAACTCGGCAACTATGTGGACATGGGTGTTGCAATCAACATAGTGTACCTGGACTTGGACCTAGAGTCATGGAACACTAGGACTGGAAGGGACCTCGAGAGGGCATCAAGTCCAGTCCCCTGCCCTCACAGCAGGACAAAGCGCCATCTAGATCATCCCTGACAGGTGTCTGTCCAACCTGCTCTTAAATATCGCCAGTGATGGAGATTCCACAACCCCGCAAGACAATTTATTCCAGTGTTTCACCACCCTGACAGTGAGGAAGCTTTTCCTAATGTCCAACCTAAACCTCCCTTGTTGCAATTTAAGTCCATTGCTTCGTGTCCTATCCTGAGAGGCCAAGGAGAACCATTTTTCTCCCTCCTCCTTGTAAATGCCTTTTAGGTACTTGCAAGCTGCTGTCTTGTCCCCTCTCAGCCTTCTCTTCTCCAAACTAATCAAACCCAATTTTTTCAGCCTTCCCCATTTTTGTTGCTCTCTTCCAATTTCTCCACATCTTTCCTGAAATGTGGTGCCTAGACCTGGACACAATACTCCAGTTGAGACCTAATCAGTGCAGAGCAGAGCAGAGCAGAGCAGAGCAGAAGAATGACTTCTCATGTCTTGCTCACAACTCTCCTGTGAACGCAAGTTTGCTTCTTTTGCAACAGTGTCACACTATGGACTCTTATTTAGCTTCTGGTCCACTATGAGCCCTCTGTGCCTTCCCTCAGTACGCCTTCCTAGACAGTCAATTCCTATTTTGTATGTGTGCAACCGATTGTTGCTTCTATGTATATGTATGCTTTGCATTTGTCCTTATTGAACTTCATCCAATTTTCCTCAGACCATTTCTCCAGTTTGTCCAGATCATTTTGAATTTACAGCTTCCATATGGGGAGAGATTAAATGGATGGGGTGGTTCAGCTTGGAAAAGACATCACTAAGAAGGGATATGATAGAGGTCTATAAAATCATGACTGGTGTGGAGAAAGTGAAAAAATAAACTTTCCTTCCCTAGCACAAGAAATCGGTGTAACTCTGATGAAAATAATAAGCAGCAGGTTTAAAACAAACATAAGGAAATACTTCTTCACATAACACACAGACAACCTGTGGAACTCCTTGCCAGAGGATGTTGTGAAGGCCAAAACTTTACCAGGGTTAAAAAAAGAACTAGGTGAGTTTGTGGAGGGAAGGTCCATCAATAGCTATTAGCTAAGATGGGCAGGGATGCAACCTTGTACTCTGGGTGTCCCTAAAGCGGGTTCCTCACAGGATCCTAGAATCCTGGGGTTGGAAGAGACTTCAGGGGGTCATTGAGTCCAACCCCCCAGGGGAAGGTTCACTGAATAATACTGAGCTCTTGTGAGAGAGGCAGTGCTACGGGAATAAGTTCCCTTACATTTACTGAGAATCTGGATCAGCATCCGGACCCTGGAACTCTCTGACTTGATGATGGTCTCTTTTGGGGAAGTGCTGCCCAGCAGAGGAAGGGTTAAATTGCCTTTGCCATGCCTGGACAAAAGCTCTGGCAGGCAGGTGTTGGAGCTGCATTGAGTAATCCCTCCTCCTCAGCCCTTTGCTTCCTCCCAAGCGGTGATTTAATTCTCACCTCTGTGCCAGGACTGGCAGGGCCGGCTTTGGGCGCTAGGTTAGCTTGCACTGGGGGCGGGTGGGGGTTGCATAGGCGGTGACTCAGCTACCAATTGCTCGCTGGAGGGAGTGGGGCCAGTTGCAGATGCTTGGCCAGCCCCGGGGTCCATCACCTGGGCCACTGCAGAAGTCACGGAGGTCTCAGGAAGACAGGGCATCTGTGACTTCCACGACAGACATGGACCCCTATCCATGAACCCTCTCCCTTGGCTGGCAGGGCCTGGCGTCCAAGTCCCCTCCAGGGTGACGGGGAACCCAATGCCCCTGCAGGAACTGGAGGTGCTCGTTCACTAATGAGGACTCCGGCCGGTTTGAGAGACAGCGCTGCTGAAATGCAGCCACCTCTGGGGTGGAGCGTGGCAGACCACATGAGAGGAAGAGGGAACGTTTGGCCAGGAGCAGCAGGGCCAAACCTGAGCGCCCTCACAGCCAGGAGCGCGCACAGCCTGAGGGAGCACCATGGAGCCCAGTGCTGGGTTCTCCCTGTGAAGGCGGTGGGGCTGGCTGGACGCTGCTGGCGGGTGCTCCTCCCCAGAGCTCCCTGGGAGGCACGGGGGGCCTCAGGCCCCTGGGGGAAGCAGACTGTCAGAGATGTCTTCGGGGAAAGCGTCTGGGGCTGGCGGGCTGAGGGTCTGCCAGCTCCCTCCCAGGCGAGAAGCACAGACACAGCCATCTGCAGTTGGGCAGAGATAGCTCCTGCAAACAGGAGAGCCGGTGCCCCTGGCCCCAGTGCTGCGGGGAGACCGGGGAGCCAAGGCCCATGCCCTGGGATTCCTCTGCTCTGTTTTTGTGCTAGGAAGCAGGGGAGCTGATGGCTGGCCCTGCCCCCCCCACCCCCTTTTCCTGCTGGAACCCAGAGCACCCCTCCACCCCAGCCCTGACTGCCAGCAGCCCAGCTTTGCCTCCAGCCCTGAGTGCAGGGTGGGTGGCATAGGTGCCTGTGGGGGAGGGAGTGCGGGCGGGGGGGCATGCAGAGCAGCAGGGAGGGAGAGTGAGGGGGAACCCCTGGCCCCAGAGAGTAGGGAGGGTAGGCAGGAGGGTGACACCCCCCAACCACAGTGACCTCCAAGCCCACAAGCACTGGGACACCCCGAGGTCCCCAAATCCTGACACTACCCCCGAGCACCAGACAGTGCAGCCCCAGTGGCCAGGGGCCCTCCAGTGCCGAGGGGCCCAGCCTCCCCAAGTCCCAGTGCTCTACCCCAGCGGCACGCTGCCTAGGCTGGGGCCAAGGGGGGAGAGCAAGCAGGAGGGGGCTCCGGGAGGAGCGTGGGTGGGCCCCACCCATGCCGGGCAGTTTGGGGCGGCACAGCCTTCCCCTGCCCGTGCGAGAGGTGAATCGGGGCCCCCCTCAGACAGGGGGTGCTTGCCCTCTGCAGCGCTGCCCCGGCCGGCTGGCCTGCCGCTCACCTGTACTGGATGGTCTCCGAGGTGGTCGAGGCGCGGAGCTTGGTCATGAGGATTCTGACAATGTTGAACAAAAAGATGAAGTTGATCTGAAAGAGACGGGAACTCGTCAGCACAGTTGGTCCCTCTGTATCGACTAGCAGGCAGTCCCACCAGCCAGGACGGAGGCTTATGGCCACAGCTGTAGCACCCAGGCCTCTAGCGTGATGGCTCGGCCACTAAGCCACTTAGCCACGAGGCTTTCAGAACCGACGGGCTCAATACGCATGCACTTTGGTTAGTCTGTCACTAACCTCGGCTCCCACCACTAGGCCATTCTCCCTCCCAGAGTCTGGACTTGTGCTCTCCACTGTCCTCCTGCAGGCTAGATGAAATTCACACCCACTGGCTGAGCGCTTCACGCTCTCCTCTAGAGGCTGGTCTGCACATCATATATTATTTACTGTGTTTAGTCCAGTAACGCCTAAGGACCCACCAGAAATGGGAGCCTGCTGTGCAACGTGCTGTACAGGCTTAGGGTAGGGTCTGGTCTCTGCCCCAAAGAGCTAACAATTCAAATAGACCAGCCAGGCCCAGGGTGGGGAAGGGGTAGAAACACACTAGCAAAGTGATGGCAGCAATGGGGGTTCGTTGGAGGGGATCAGCTAAACAGAAAGGAAAGAAAAGGGAAGGGGCCAGAGCAGAGATGATGAAGGTGCCAAAGTTTCTGTTTAGGCTACTTCTGCTCCGAACAAGGCTGGAGTCCCTGGCTGGTCCCTTTCTGCGCCGCTCCCCTCCAGCTAAGGAGGTTACATTGAGATGAATCAACTAATTGAATAGTCAATGTCATTTGCATCGGGTGCGTCCACCTGTGCAATGTAGCAAGCGCCCTGCCGGCTCTTTCAAATGTAGCAAGAGCTGCTGGATCTTGCTACATTTCAAAAGCGGAAACACAGTGGGGAGCATGGGGCGCCGGGGGACTGGAGCCGGCCCCCGCTGGCCCTGCACTCCCTGCTTTTGAAATGTACAAGAGCCTCGGGAGGGCTCTTGTACATTTCAAAAGCAAAGCGCCGCCGGGAGCGCAAAAGCAGGGAGCAAGGGGCCAGTGGGGGACTGTCTGAATCCCCAGCTCGCCCCAGGCTCTGCAGGGCTTCTGCTTTTGAAGTGTAGCAAGATCTGCTCCCCCCAGCACCAGATCCTGCTCCCCCCCTTGCTGCATCTCTCTGATAGAGGCAGTAAAGCGGCAGGGGAGGGAGGGGAAGTGACAAGTCGAGTCACTAGTCGACTAGTCACTCACATCCCTGCCTCCAGCCATGGTGCTCAAGCGCTAGAGGCCGCGTGGGGGACCGGCAGAGCTGCAGTTCACATCCCGCAGTGTCCTTACGGCTGCCTGCGATGGAATGGGCCTCGCTACGGCAGGTGCTGCTGCCCAGCCATCCGACTTGCCCTCTGCTCTGCACGGGGTGTGGGCGATTACCCTGGCACAAGGCAGGCACAAATCCAGACACACCAGAGCAGACCCTAAGAGAGAGCAGCGCTTCAGAGAGCGAGGCCACTCACCCCACCCCACCCCACCCCACCCAGCGACTGACACGCTCAAAAGCGTAACAAGCAGCAGGAGCGCAGTGATTGGGTCTAGCCGAGCGGCAGTGAGGGCAGCGCTCCGGGAGGGGGGGTGTGTGGAAACGCTGTGCACCCTGGACCCTCTCCTCTCATCCTGGGGCTGCTGGGGTTGGTTTAGTTTCTGGTGCAACAGAAGAGCATCCTCCGAGCTGCTCTGTCATGTGCTGGCTGGTGGCTTCTGGGTTCTGGGCTGGGCAGCCTGCCCTTTGGTGATGGTGTCGGGCTGGCTATGCTGCTTTTGTAGCGATTCCCTTTGCACTGGAGGAATCATTAGCCTGTCACTGCCTGGAGAGACAACAGGGCTCCGGGAGAGCTAAAGTCTATTCCTGCCAGGGCATCGGCAACAGAACTAGGTTCCCGCCAGCCCCTCTTGTGCAAACTCACTGGAGCCTACGGGCTTGGTCAAGTGTTTTAGCCTGGAACTTAGCCAGCAAAACATTCACCATAATACCCAGCACGTGCCCTGCCAACCTTTTATTCTGGGGATGCTGCAAGTGAAGGAAAAGACCCCGCTTGACTCTCAGATCCCAGTGGGCGTCGATACGAAAATGACTTTTCTGACCGTAAACGGGGCCAATTGACCTGGAGCCCGAGTTGCCACAATCGTGCGTTGCACAAGGACGGTAACACGTCTGCTTAAAAACACGTTTCCCTTCGTTTCTTGGGAAATTCATGGAATCGTCTCAATGTGATGAAATGTGGGGAGGGGGCCGGGTTCTGTTTTTCATAAAACCCCACCAAAATGTCAATCCGGCTCTAAGTCTTCAGTGACATAAACACCCCAATTTTTAGCCAGGACCCCCATTCAACACCCAGGACGCACGGCTGCAGGGACAGGGCAGCTTCATTTATCACCCCCAAGTGCTTTATGAACAAGACATTTGGGGCCAACTTCAGTGTCAGATCTGGCCCTTGTGCCAGGGGAGGCGTGAGATGCAGCGACGGAGGGGGAGGGTTAGGGTCAGAGGGGTGGAGAAAGCCGTGGAAGGAAACAAAGGAAGGAAAGAGGGGGAGGCAAAAGGGGAGGGAAGAGACCAAGAAACATAAGACAGATTCGGTGGCTCCTGGAGGCAATCAATCCATTGCCTGACTGCTGCTCCATTAATGAGGTCATGGGGAGAGCTGCAGACAGGTCCAAGCAAAATTGACACAGATTAAAAATGGTCTGGCTACCTAAAGGGCTGGGAAATGAGGAGCCAGGCCAAATTACCCAGAGAACCAGAGGGGAGGCCAGTTGATACCGGTGATTAAAAGTCCTGGGTATTATTACTGATGGGCAGGAAGGGGGGAGCAGCCACAGGGACCTTCCACATGGTGTCCCCCCTCCTGCCAATGCATCACAAGTCCCACCTGCCCCGGAGTGAAGCAGGAAGAAAGCGAACTGGTTAAATGACTTAATTGTGATAAACTTAAAAAACAAAAGCTGGTCTGGTAGCACTTTACAGACTAACAAAACATGCAGTTTAACTGGCTAACGGGCTGGAGTCTGGCCGGCCCACCGGGCAGGGTGCTCCTCCAATCCAGCCTTTCGTGAGCGGATAGCCCCAGCCAGCTGGGCCGCAGAGGGTAGGGGACTGCCCCTTTGCCCTGCTGGTTAAGAGGTTAACTGGTAGGCATGCGAGGAAGCCGGCAATGCTTCCTGATTAACCGGTTACCCTTTTACATCCTTAGGGCACAGCTAAGCCCCAGCGTGTCCTGCTCCTTCACGTCTCCTGTTTCCAAGGCCGGGTCGTCCGAGCAAGGCTCAGAAACGCCGTGTGACTGAGGCACCAGGCTGGCATCTCACATACCCTGCGAAAGCCCCCAGCTGGTGAGTCCTGGTTCATTTCCTCGCCAGGTGAGCTCAGCTACTGACGGACGAAAGCCAGGGCTGACCAGACCCGTGCTGTTTGACCTGCTTTAGCAAAGCCCCAGTGGAACAGATGCTCCTTTCATGACCTTTTTAAGGAGCTTCCCAGGCAAATATTTTGGCATCTTTGTGAGGCTTCGTTCATTCAAACAACTTCTCCCAGGCTTGTCACGACAGCCCCTGTGAAGCTGAGATGGGGCACCCGTGTGCAGTGTTTCACTCCACCACTTTCTACATATTAGTGAAGTCCCTGGACTTTCAAGGCCCCCTTCACTTTTACTCCCCACACTGTGAAAGTGGGGAGAAGAGGTGTCTTCTCCCAGAGAACTCCCTTTTGTCAGCCCTACTAGCCTCTCTCTCTTCTGCTTCTTCCCCTTGGCACGCCCTCCCTGTGCTCTTCCATCCAGTCATCTGGGTAAGGGGCTCATACGTCCTTTTCCGCTGCATCAAATACAACCCTTTGCTCTCACAGCCCTCCCCGGCCTCCTCCTGCCTCTCAGCCCTCAGGTCTCAGCTTGCTACCAGACGCCAAAGCCCCACTCCACTCGGTCAGCAATGCCAGCCTTCTCTCCTCGGATCCCACTAAATACCCAAACCCCCCAAAACCATCTGCTCGGGAAACTTACTTCTACAACTCAGGACCAAATGTACACAAACCCCCCCCCCCCCACCTGCAAAATCCCCGACTAGGAGTTTTCTATCTGCTACTCAAGATCCACAAACCTGGAAATCCCGGACGACCCATCACTCAAGCATTGGCACACTCTCGGCAGGATTATCTGGCTATATTGACTCTCTCCTCAGACCCTATGCTGCCGGCACACCTAGCTGTCTTTGAGACACCACCGACTTCCTGAGGAAACCAGAGAACATCAGTGATCTTCCCGAAAACACCATCCTGGCCACCATGGACGTAGAAGCTCTTTACACCAACATTCCACACAATGATGGCTTGCTGGCCATCAGGAACACCATCCCTGGTTACAGAGCTCTGTGACTTTGTCCTCACCCACAACTACTTCCCATTCGGAGACAATTTGTATCTTCAAATCAGCGGCACAGCCATGAGCACCCGCATGGCCCCACAATATGCCAAGGCCTTTATGGCTGACCTTGAACAACGTTTCCTCAGCTCTTGTCCCCCAGCACCCTTACTCTAACATGCAACATTGATGACATTTTCATCATATGGACCCACAGGAAAGAGACCCTTGAAGAATTCCACCATCAACCTCAGCCTGGACCAGTCCACATGAGAGATCCACTTCCTTGACACTACAATGCAATTCCATGAAGGTCACATTTCCACCACCTTATATCCTACTGACCGTTATACTTACCCTCATGGCTGTAGCTTCCATCCAAGACACATTTCACAGTCAATTGTTACAGCCAGTCGCTAAGATACAACCGGATTTGCTCCAATCCCACAGCCAGAGACAAACACCTACAGGATCTTCTATCAGGCATTCTTAAAACTTTAATACCCACCCAGAGAAGTGAAAAAACAGATCAACAGAGCCAGATGAGTACCGTAATTTCACGAATATAACCCACACCCGAATATACCCCACGGTTTTTTCTATTTGAGTAAAAAAAAATCTTGTGTACCCCACGCATGAATATAACCTGCGGGGTATACAAGACTTTTCTGTGCTGGGGGTATATTTGCTGGGGGTATATTTACAGTGCGGGGGGGGGAGGGGTTAGCCACTCACTGCCTCAGGTTCCAGCGCAGCCGCCAACCCTCGGGCGGGGGGGCGCCCCTCCCCCCCGT